TGTTATACGTATTCGTAATCATATTTGGTGTTAATCTTTGATTATTGTATTTATCACTGCTTTCTAATACCATTTGATAGGCGATCTCGAAGGCCTGTCCCAATGTCAGTATCACCTCGGTCACCAAGTCCTACAAGCAAAATAAAAAATAATTTAATATAATAGGAATTTTGTTGAATTCAGATCCGTTTAATATCTAATGAATGACATTATTAAATAACATTAATAGCTATTGATATATTTACAGCTTTTAAATAAGGGTTTTGATTTAATTAAAGTTTATGATTTACTAATTATAAATAAATAACGTTGAAAATATTTTAATAATATTATATGATATAAGTCACTATCACTTAACTATTCATAAAAGATTTTATTACTGAACTCATTATAAATCTTGTATTATTATGAATTGTTTACAGCTTATTCTCAAATAATAATTAAAAGTAATAAAAATCTGTTAGGATAAATTCAAAATGTACTTGTTAATATTCTATTTTAATAAATACCGTATTATTAGATGAGAAGACATGGCAGTAATGGTTATTAGTCTCCAACTCTTTGGTTATATACGCGAAATGATTCAAATCTTCGCTGTCCTGACAAATACACTGTATATTCCGTATGGAGTGCTCGCATACCATAACCTATGGGTCCGTAAACAGAAATTTAGCCCAAAATTTAAAAAAATGTCTAACTTTTCATACCTGTGTCTCGGCGTCAATAAACTGAACGCCTGTATAACTAATGGACAAAACTATTTGCGGTATTTTTGCGATCCCTTTAGTCGACAGTTTGAGCTTTTGAATGGACGCACGGGTAGAGTCGATACCCCGGAGCTCCCGGACTAATGTTGAGCCCAAATAACTGGCCGTATATTTGCAGGAACTGTCGATTAGCTCCCGGTTCTGGTGTTTCCATTGAGTTGTGGTTTCTGTTGTGTCGGGTTTCGAGGGTTTGGACTCGACTTTAGGTGGGTTTGGGTCTGACTTCCGGTTTTTGTCGGGGGCAGTAGAGCTCGAGTTAGCGGTGAGTGTCGAACACGTGTCGCCCAGTCCTTCATCGACGGACAGTTGGCTTATATTGAGATTCTGTTCACAAAAATTAATTTATTTATATAAAATATTAAATTGATTACTATAAATTATTTACAGATAAACAAAAATTAAATTAAACACTATTAAAAATGAGCACAGGCATTTAAAATGAAACCATTATTAAAATATATTTTCATTTGTTAAATTCATATAAAGCTTTATAAACATGTTACAGCCTATTATTCAAATAGCATATTTGCTATTAATGAATTAATACAGTATATCATAATTGAATATTTAAATAAATTTTCTAAAATTAAAAATCACTTCATCCACAAACCAAATATAAAACTATAATTATTTAGTTTAAATTATATAAAGACTATTAAACAGTGTTACAGTTACAACTAACTTAAATTAATATAACTTAATAATAAAATTATTTAAACAAAAATAAGCATGCACCAATTCCGTATTAAACTCCTGTACCAGTTTATCAAAGTCCAGGTCATCTAAGCCCAAGTCCTCGATGAGTCGTAACCTCTCGCCCAGGGAGGCCAGTATGCGTTTCCTGTG